TTGTGAAGCCTCAAGCTCCACTTCTGCAAAATGGGACTCATGATAGCACTTGCTGCTAGGGTGGGTGAGGATCCCACAAGGTGGGTAATATGTCAAGAGCATTTAGAATCTTTTTGTCTGATGCCAATTAGTCAGCGTAAGCTACGGGCATCCTGAGTTACTAATTTGTGCTGATTTATTGCTTGTTGATCACAGTGACATGAATGCACTGAAGCAGCTCTCTGAAAATCCATCTACAGTGACATTAGTCGCCTGCTATTCTTTCAGCATGAAGGACACACAAGGACTCCAATAGGGTCCACAGAGAACCTAACCCAAGTAGCATGAATTTTCAGTTTCTTGTCCACCCACAGGACATCCCTCTCAATAAGGCTGGTCCTAAAGTAGGTCAGGATGCTTGGAGCTGAGCAGTAGGGTTGGTCCTGGAGTAGGGATGGGAAGAGACTCTAGCCAGCCCGGTCACAGTGGAAACACAGGTCTGGACCAGTGTGGACACTGTGCAAGTCTTTTATTTGGGGGCGCTGCTTAAGAGGCCACTGTGGAGGGATACTAGGGACTTAGCTCCAAAGGGCAAAGGACAGCACAAGGGATATTCTTCCATCCCTGTTCCCTACAATCCCCTGGAGTTAATGAAGTATACACACCAAAACCCCAACCAACTGCCATCCCATAGCCACCCCGTAAGAGAATCAAACTGCTCCCTACTGTTTCCGCGATTGCAAATCCTTACAGGTGCGGACAGCCTCATTTTTCTCTCTGAGTGTGGTTAGCAGCCCGACACATAACCCACTATGCAACCAGGGATCCTCTAGTGAAGTAGGCTCAAACAACAACAACAAAAATTCAGGTTTTCAGATTTGTGTTTGATTTTGCACACACCAGGTGTTTACAAAGCGTGTTCGATCTCAGAGAAGTGGGCCTTACCTCCTTACAGAAATCTGCCACAACGCAGATGAACAAACACAGGAAACCATAGGAGCTGGCCATCAGCAAACAGTCTTCATCCAGTCCAGCTTGGCACCTCCACTAGTGCGTTTACACACAGCCTCCTAACCGGAAGGATTCCCACAAGGGAATCTTGTCCCCACAAAAAGTCCCCTGGATCTCGTCAAGTGTCTAGAGTGAATGGCCAATTTAAATGAAAGATGGGTGACTAAAGGACGAGGTTAAACTTCGCCAGTGAGCTGCCACTGCAATACAGTCTGACTGGGAAAGCCTACAGTACAAAGGGCTGCATTTCTTTTTCAACAAGAATCAAGGGGGTGAAAAAAATCTAGAAACTAAAGACAGAGAGGGGGAGGGGAATGTATAACTCACCCAATATACAGACTTTATTACGATCCTCAGTAGAGCAAATAAACTGACCAAATTTTTGATATACGTGGGGAAGACTGAACACTCCCCCAGGCTATTTGATGATATTAAAAATAATTGTTCCTTTTTCGTTTGTTTGTAAAGACAAGTGCCTGATGTGACGGACTTCCAAATAATCTGGGTTGCAAAGGGATTGAATAGGGTACAAATGAAGCATGACTGGCCCTGAGTGGATTCTTTTCCAAAGTGAGTAGTGGGTACACGGGGGTCCGTTAGGCGATTCTCTCGGCTTTTACATATGTTTGAAAATTTCCATAATATGATGTTTTAGTAAAACTTACTAAGTGAGCCTGAGACTGAAAAGAGATTATTTACAATGCATATGGCTGAAAGGAGTTCTGGTGTGGCGCTGTAGGATCAACACTGGACTGTGAACCACAAGGTTTAAACCCACCAGTTGCTCCCTGGAAACCCTAGACAGGGTCGCTATGAACTGGAATTGACTTGATGGCACTTAACAACAACAAAGACAGCTGGAAAGTACATGTAAAGAATGTGCTGTAAATCAGTATGAAAACCCAGTACAGTCCAATAGAGACTGTAAGGACTAAAACACAAGGCAGAGAAGAGGAAACCAAAATGGACCATATGGAAATGAAGAGTCAGCAGCATTTGTGACTGAGGGCATGAAGGTTACGTTCATTTCACACCACCTAGAAGTGTTGCTTCACGTGGTGCTGTAGGATAAGCACTAGACTGCCAACCACAAAATCTGCAGTTCAAACCCTCCAGCTGCTCCTTGGAAATCCTATACAGGGTCACTATGAGTCTGAATTGACTCGATGGCACTTAACAAGGACAAAAATGTTGTCAATGAGCCCTAGTGTGGTGCTATAGGATAAGCACTGGACTGCAAACCACAAGGTCGATGGTTCAAACCCCCTCATCACTCTTCAGAAACCCTGTATGGGTCACTAAGAGTTGGGACCAAGTCAACAGCACTTAACAAGCAGCAGTGTTGTCAAGGAGGTGGCGAAAGAAACGCTAGCACACTGACAGAGGTGTCTTAAACAGCTGCTCTGCAGCCTCACCCAAAGGTGAAATTAATAAACCAACAAACAAAACATCTGCATACTGGAACTAAGAAGTGATTATAAATGGCTGCTCATATGTCACAACCCGAGATAAGCAGGCCTGAAGTGTGTCCTGGCAGAAACATGGACAATACAGGTGTCCAAGCCTCGCACTTCAAATTCCTATTTAAGGAAAATACAAGAAGCCAAGTGTTGGTGTTATTGTTGTTAAGTGACGTTGAGTCAGTTCTGACTCATAGTGACTCTGTATAGGGTTCCCAAGGAGTGGCTGGTGGGTTTGAACCGTCGACCTAGCAATCAGCAGTCCAATGCTTATCCTACAGCGCCACATCAGGACTTCAAGAAACCAAGCAGCATGTCCAATACCACAACAGAGATGTGCTCAGCACACTCCAGGTGGTGAGAAACTCTATTAATCAATGACTCACTGTCTTCAATAAAGGAATCACCAAAACACAAAAATGAGAGAGATGGAAAATTGGATATATTCAAGAAAGGTTAAGAGACATAGTTGTATCAACCAAGTAAAATATGTGCATTTCAAATGGATCCTGATTTAAACAAAAAACTATTACAAAATTAAGAAGCAAATGAAAATCTTAGCACTGGATATTTGATAACCTAAAGCAATTACTGCTAAAGCATGCATGTATAGGGGGCAGGTGGCTTATAATAAGAATGTGGTTATTTTTTTCTTATTTCTTAAGAGATCTCACCCACTAAAATGTCTACAGATGGAATAAAATTCAGGATCTGATTCAAAATAAATTGAAGGAGGAGGTGGGTGTGACAAACTGAAATAAGATTGGCCATTTGTGTTAATAATTGAACTTGGTAATGGAAACATGAGCTTCCATTGGATTAATTTTTCTCCCTTATTAAACATTTTTCATAATAAAAATGTTTTACAATGAAGAATATACTTGTACACAAAATGATGGATGTTCAAATGTTGGGTGTCATGGTTGGTAATAGCAAAATACTGGGAACACCCACAAAGTCTACGATTACAAGACTGGATTACAAGTCTTGTGGTGTTTCAGTCCATAAAGGAAAAAGAAATACAGAAAAGAAAGCGAATGAACTTGGCCAGTAGGTCTCAAGCACAGCTGGTTCCATCTCCTCAGGGGACATTTGGAATGTCAATAGGCATTTTCAGTTGTCACCAGATAGGGGAGTTGGAGAGCTAGTGGAATTGAGAGGGCAGGGGCCAAAGAGGCTGCCAAACACTCTATAGTGCACACATAGGACAGGAGCCCCACAGCACGGAATTATCCTGCCCCAAATGTTGAAGGTCATGGCTGAGAAACCCATACTCGGGTCTATGTGGGATACACCTCCAACCCTAATATTCAATTAAAAACAAAACAAAAAGTGTCAAAGGGACATTTACAAGTGTTACCACACGGGCAAAAGTTAGGAACATAGACACGGTACGTGGCTCAAAGAAATGTATCTTACAGTGCAGTGTGAGAACTGGAGTTGGTGAAGACTACACACCAACTTCAGAACATAGAATCTGGGGGCGGGGACAGCGAGCAAGAAATGGTGCAAAGGGAGCTCCAGCAGACTCTGTCACATTTTATTCTCTTTGTTGCATGTGCACACACACACACACACACACACGCACAATCCCTCCCAAAAAAGGAATGTTGGTAAGTTAGGGTTGCTAGGTGTTGTCAAGCTGATTTTTGATTCACAGGGACCTCCATGTATCATAGAGTAGAAATACACCCCCAGTTGAGTTTTCTAGGCTCTAATGTATATGGGGCGTGGCGCTGTGGGTTAATGCGCCAGACTGCAAAGCCGTTTGAACTGCAAGGTCGGTGGTTCAAGGTCACTAGCTGCTCCTCGGAAACCCTATACAAGGTTGCTATGGGTCGGAACCCACTCGATGGCACATAACAACAACAACAAATGTATATGAGGAGTCCTGGTGTGGCGCTGTAGGATAACCACACAAGGCTGGCAGTTCAAATCTACGAGTTGCTCCTTGAAACCCCTATACAAGGTCACTATGAGTCAGAACTGACTCAATGGCACTTAACAAGAACAAGAATCTACAAGGAGTCTTATCTATATGCAGTCCTGGTGTGGCACTGTAGGATAAGCAATGGATTGCCCATCTAAAGGTCAGTAGTTCAAACTCAACCAGCCACTCCTCGGAAACCCTCAACATGGTCACTATGAATCAGAACCAACTTGAGGGCACTTAACAACAACAACAATCTATATGGAGGGAGCTCTGTGATGCTGTGGTTTAGGCATTAAGCTGCTAACCTCAAGACTGGTAGTTCAAACCCATGAGCCTTTCCTTGGCTCAGGGTCACTGTGAGTCAGAACAAACTGCTGGCAGTGGCTTTGGTTTTCTGGTAATCTATATGGAAACAGGCTGCCCGGTCTTTCTTTCCTGATGCCGCCAGGTGGGTTCAAAACAACAACCTTTGGGTTAGCAGCCCAACACTTGCTTAACTGTTGTTAACTGTCCATGTATGGAGTCTTCCAGGCTCTGTCCTGTGCATACTCCAGACACTGCTGCTACTGATACAGCCAGCAGAGGGCGGGACGAGCAGGAGGAGGGAGAGGACTTACCGGGCCGCGCAGGTCAATGAGCTCCTGCCTCATCTGCGACACCAGGGTTTCCTTGGCCACCAGGGCCCGGTGCAGGCGTTCGTTGAACTCGATCAGCTCACCATGCATCTCCGCCACCTGGAAGACACAGCGCCAAACACTAAGGCTCTGAGAACAGGACCTTCTATGGTGCTTACCTACTATTCAAATCAACAAACATGTGCAAATCCATCCGTAATGTGATTATGTTTTATTTTAGTAGTTTCATTTTAACACTTCAAAAGTCAAAAATCCACAGTTCATGGTCAGAATAGGATGACTATCAGATCCTTTTTGAACCTCAAATTTTTTATTTACAATTTAAAACTACTTCTCTAGCAAAGGCTTTCTTACTACTCTGATGTGTGCCTGCCTAGAATTATCCAGATAACACAATCTGAAACACTCTGTTTCTCTACATCAGGGCCTTGGTTCTGACCGTAAGAAGACAGAATCAGAGTCTTACCTATGGTGGTGACAGACCCACTGGCAACTGCACAAGAACCTTATTTACCAGCAAAAAGCCAGTTGCTATCAGGTTGATTCAGACTCATGTGATCCCGTGTGTGTCTCAGTAGAACGGCTCCACTGGGCTGTCATGGTTGATTTCTCTGAAGTAGATCTCCAGGTCTTTCTTCCGTGGTGTCTCTGGGTGGACACCAACCTCCAACGTTTCAGTTAGCAGCTGAGCACACTAACCATCTCTACCTCACGGAGACTCCTTCAGCCACTTAGTTAGGAAATCACAATGAACACTGAACAAGCCAAAGCAGAACCAGCCTTGTTCCACCTTATCTGGGAAGGTGTTTGTTGAATGTCATGTGACTCTGAGTTTTGCTTTTCACAGCTCCGCAAAGCACACAACTGCGAATGGCCACAAAAACACTGAGAGCATTGATTTTGGGGGGGGTCACACATTAATTTCACCAAGTTGATAAATTCACAAATACAGAATCTGTGAATAATGAGACTGGGCTATTATTATCCTCATCTCAGAAAGGGAAAAACTTGTCTGCAGAGTTTAAGGAGCTTACTCAGTCAAGATTATATCGTGGAGAAAGGGCGGGGCCAGGTGCAAACCCATGATTCCAAAGCCCTGGCTCTAGACCACTGTGCCACCTGCTACACCCTACAATTCCACCGTGCCTGCTCAGTCAGGCCTGATATAAACACTCAAAAGGTTTCAATGTTTATTCAGTACTCTGCTGTCCTTGTTCAGTGCAGTCAAGTCAGTTCCGACCAACAGCATCCCTGCATAGGGCTTGCAAGGAGTGCCTGGTTGAGTTTGAACTACTGACCTTGCAGTTCAAACCAACCTTGTGGTCAAGTGCTTATCCTACAGCACCACACCATGTCTCCATTCAATACTACTGGCTGATACCAGATAAATAAAAAGCCATGTGGTTAGGAGGAATACAGAAATCAACATATATAAAGCAAAGATGACACAGGCTTCACAAAGTTCACGAAGAAATGGAATGAAAAGACAATGGATGGAATATTTTCACAAACTTTCTGAGTCCCCCTGATATGTAATCAAATGCACAGTAATTTCTCTGATTACAAGGGAAATGAAATTCAGTGCTAATACATGCTTTTGACATGGATGAAATTGGAAAGCATCTTGTGAAGTGAAGGAAGCCCTGCACAAAAGGCTACGTAAGATTCCAGGTGCACCAAATACTCGATTAGGTAAATCCACAGAGACAGAAAACAGATGAGGGGTATCCAGGGATGGGGAGGAGAGGGAGGTGAGAGGTGACAGTTTAATGGGTAGAGGTTGGTTTCCTTTCGAGAGGATGAAAATGTTCTGGCATCAGACAGAGGTGATGGCTTTACAACATGGTGAATGTCACTGAACTGTGCACTTTAAATGGCCACAAGAAAAAGTTATCAAATACAACTGTAATTTAAACATTTTAGAAATGTGAGCTCTCATCCTGTCACGTTCTCCGTGAACCCTGAGTAAAGGATCTTTATCCAGGGATCTGATACAGGAACCTCTCTGGATGCAGAGGTACAGCCAACCCTCACCAAGTCCCCGCCATTCCTAGACCTCCTATTACACCCAGACACGCACCATATTGCATGTACTACATCAATAATGTCAGATCATTTGTAATACATACTCTCCCAGAGACATGAAGCACACACCTTCAGGGAACAGGACAAACATGGGAGAAGCTACGTGGAACAAATGTGTCGTTAACCTGAGCATGATTGCTTTGGAGGAATGAAGAGAATCCACGCTTTCCATGGCGTGGAGAAGGATATGCTGTTACATAATGAAACGTCTATAGAGAAATATACATCAGGACTATTATTAACATTAGTCAAGGGGTATGTTTTCATCCCAGTCTTTCTAGTTCTCCTTATTTAAAATTTTCTAATAATGAATATTCTCATTTACCCTTGAGGAAAACCATACAGACTCTTTAAAAGAATTAAAATTCTTCTCTGGAAACTACAAGGAACGGTCATGAACTTGATGTGAAATTTATCAGACCACCAACCACAATCTTGATTCTTCCATTAACTTGCTCTGTGAATCCATGCACCAAAAGGTAGCCCATCTACCCCCAGGAGCTCACCTCTTCTAAACCCGCATGAAATGCAAAGTGCAGATGGCACAAGAGACATTGCAAGAACCAAGCAATTAACACAGGAAGAGTACATGGCTGAGCCTTTTCACCTTTTTCCTTTGTACACACCTAAAATTAATACTCTCACGATTATCTGATTCCTTTTGCATAAGCAAAGCTTATAGTGATCTTTTTCTGGACTTTCCCAAACAAATACAGTACCACTAATAACTCTCTGTGAATTTCCTCAAGGCTGTGCATGCATTTACCACACAGCAAGCAGGAAATAAACAACTGCCAATATTACTGCTAAATGCCTGCTAATGTGCCCTACGAAATGCAAGCTTAAGAAATGTCACCATTGTTTCTAAGAGAAGCAGGAGTGTTTTTGTTTGTTTGGGTTTGGTTTTGCAGTCAGAGCCAGAGTGTTAAGACAATTTTCCATAAATGCATAAAACATGGAAACATTCCAGCTTCCAGCGGTGTTTATCCTAAGCTGTCAAAACCATGGTTCTCTCTTGCTGCCCAAAGAATGACTTGACTGTATCAAACAAAGCCTTCATTTTGCTACAGAAAAAAAATTCTGACGGAATTGAGGAAGACAAACTGTGATGGAATCATTGTTAAAAGCATATAGAAATGTGAAACTGATAATCTTCTTTGTAAACCTAATTCAAAATAAAAAGTTTAAAAAAAATAGCATATAGGCTATAGATGCTCACTGTTAAGCTTGCTCTGAAACACTGGATTTTCTAATCACATAGTCCTACTTAAAGCTGTTGACAAAAAGCAGCTTTCATCTTATATGAACCATACAAGGGGGCTTCACAAAGTTCACAGAAAAATGGAACTAAGAGATAATGGAATTTTTCCATAAACTTTTTGAAGCTTCCTTGTACTTGAGCTGATTAATCCTCAAATAACTATTTCCATACTGTATTAACTCAAAACGAAGACTCAGAGAAAGTGTTGGAAGATAAATCTGAAATCACAAATAGTTCCATCATTATTATTAAAAACAACAGTATAGAGAAGTCCTGATGTGGCGCTAAAAGATAAGCACTGGACTGTTAACCATAAGGTTGACAGTTCAAACCACTAGGTGTCCCAAAGAAAATGCTATCAGCATCCTTAGGACTTGACAGCCCTCAACGACAGCCCTGCAATGTGTACAGTTCCCAAGGTTGGATGTGGATTTGGACTTGGGCTTGGGTGCAAGATGACCCTAGGTTCTATGGTTTCCTAACAGTGCACTCCAATGCAAGTTATGCACCCTCTATGGGCACTAAGTGAGGATTAAAAACTATATACCCTCCTCTCCCTGGGCCCCTGAGCGGACGAATAGTCACTTCATTCAGCAGGCTCTGCGACACATCTGCGGTGCCTGGTGAATGCTCAGAGAATAAGAGCTGGTCTTTACTGCGAGTTGGGGTGTGGGCTGGGGGAATCACAGATGGGAAGAGGACAGGCAGCTCTCCAGGAATGAGTGAAGAAGAAGCATGTGTCCTAGCAAGGAGCTTGGCTAGCCATGGGGAGAAGCACACTGCTCCTCAAAGCAGCATTGTTAACGGTTGCTCCAGGAGCTGAGAAGCTGGGCAAACAGGTGGACGGGTGTCCTCCTTTGTCATGGAGAGAGTGGCTGGAGGGAGGACAGTACACAGAAATGCCTCTCCAACTGATGGCATTCTCGAGTCGCAAACCTAACCAGGCAGCGTCCTGTCAGATCCAGGTCCTAAGTCACCACTAGACATCCACTGTGGTCTGCCACCATCCATGCTCGGGGTCAGGCTACAAGTCCAATGGGTTTCATTCTACTCTTTGTTGTTAAGTGCTACTGGAGTTGGTTCACACCCACAGTGACCCTGTATAGGGTTTCCAGGGCTGTAAATCTTTGCAGGAGCAGAAAGCCTCATCTTTCTTCCATGGAGCAGCTGGTGGGCTCGAACTGCCAATCCTGGAGTCTGCATTCTAGTGACTACCCTATGGAGCCACCGGGCTCCTTTTCTACTTTGTACTGATAATAATCTCTGCACAATTCACAGGGAGGCAGTGAACGAGGAGGCACGACTTGACAAAGATAACTAGAGTGACAAACTGAAAGTCGACAAGTAGGTGAGGTATACCCACGAGGGTTAAGAGCCACGATGGGAATGGAGCCTTGGTGCCCAGGAAGGCTGGAGAGGCGGGCTGGTCAAACCCAAGAGAACCCCTTGGTCCTGTGTGGGACTTAAAGGTGCACAAGTATGGCGCTGGGATTAATGCGCTGGACTACAAAGTTAGTTTGAACTGACTACAAAGTTAGTTTGACTACAAAGTCAGTGGTTCAAGCTCATCAGTTACTCCTCAAAAGCCCTGCACAAGGTTGCTATGAGTCAGAACTGACTCAATGGCTCTTAACAACAGCAACAATGGACTAAAGCCCTCAAGAGCTTTATTTGCTGATGGGGCACAACTCAAAATGAGGAGAAACAGCTGTAAACATCCATTAATAATTGGAGCATGGAATATATGAAGTAT